TGTTTTAACTTGTTTTTACTTTTTAAATTTTAGTTATAAAATTAGTTTTTCATCTTTGAAAATATTAATCTTTGGTGGATCTGATTTTTGTGATTCTGCTCGCCATTTACCGCAATGTGGTTATTCTCAATGGGATTCAAATCGACGTGAATGTTCCGCTAACGCTGAAAATGATTATGGATCAAAAGGAGGTCGTTATAGAGACCACACGGTTTGTTTAACTTTTAAGATTTTTTGAAATCTTAAGTTTTTAAGGTTTTTATTGAATTCAAATTCTCAAAATTATCAGCAGTTTGTAAATTCTTCAATGAGGAAGTTTTTCCTTATCACTTTAGTTTCTTACTAGAACTTGGAGATTTGAATATTCTTGATCATTTGGAAATCTCGCATATCAATGAAATGATTCACCGAGTATATTTTTAGATCATTTATTTTTTAATGATGTTTTTATGTCTTTCCAGCTTCAAATTGAAGGTCAACCTCGTTCACAAGGTCATTTCTTAAAATTTTTCCTTCGAGAAGATCAACTCCGTGAAGCAATTGTGCGAATTTCCCTTGCTCCTATTCGACTCAATCTAGATCAAGATACATTTGATTTTCTTGTTGATTTTAAAAATCAACTGGTTCAATTCTCAAAAAATATTTTTGAAAATCTTCCATCGACGTCTGCGAATGTAAATAATGCAGAAGATGAGGATGTGCCCATTATGGAAATACCACCACAGAGAACTAATGATGAATCAGAGGAGATGCGCAATAGTTTCTGTCCAGAGTTTTCGGAAGAAGGGTGTTCTTCCATTTCTTTCAATAAATTAAGACAGCAGGATGAAGCTGATTTAGGTTTGAATTAACCTTATAAATTGGAATTAATTTTTTTATATAGCGGATCTTTTCTCAGAGGACGATGTTGACTTTTCCGTTTTCAACGAAAAAGACAGGAATTGTAAAGTATCTTCCCGGCAATCTTCAAATAAAGCTAATGAAAGATTTCAAAGTAGACGCCTTTCTCAAATTTCAACAGCAACAATGCATCAGGCAACTTCTAAAAAAGCGCTCGCTGCCAAAGATATTTTTATCAAGTTTATATTTGAAATTTTATTTTTGATTAACTAAAAATATTTAGGGATTTTTCTTTCTCACCCGCTTGTCTTATCAGAATGGATTATGAAGCAAAAAGAATTAGAACTGATCAACAACAAAGTGCTTTTCTTTCGCTTTTGCTTGGAATGACAAATATGAAAAAAGCTGAATTAACCCTCAAAGAAATTCGCGTAGAAAAAGGTTTTTTGGGAGCTCGAAAGTGTATACAGGTTTTCTGATTTGTAATTTATTCTATTTGCAAAAATTAAACTTAAAGTTTGTTGTTGATGAATGGAAGAATGATATCATCGACAAACAGTTAAGAAACTTGGTTGGCGGTGTGGCAATGATTAATGCTGTTGTTTTATTAGCGCAAGGTCTTTCAGACTTGGTTACTTATCCATTAGAAGGTTTACATATCCATAGATTTTTTTATTTTAACAATATCATTTTAGAATATCAAAGAGTAGATGGGCAACTTAGTCGAGGAATTCAGAAGGGAACTACAAGTTTCGGTCTGAACGTCGCCAGTGCAGCTCTTGATGCTACTCAACGTGTGACAAGCTTTGTACATGTAAGCATCTATTAGTAAATGATTTTCTCAAATATTTCTAAATTTTAGAATGTTGCTGAGTTCACATATGATATATTGAATCCTAATTTCACCTATCAACATTATAATGCAGATCATCGTACCAAAACACCTGGAGATTTACGTGAAGGTATTTCACTGGCTTGTAATACCGTTAAAGAGGTTTTATTAATCTTTCAAATAGCTTGGATTTATTAAATTTATTAGGGATTATCGGATACGGCACAAACACTTCAGACGGCAGCTGAGCAGGATCGAGCACGCGGTGGATGGGGTGTTGGAATTTTACGGCATATTGCCCCAACTGCTGTTCGTCCCATTGTAATTGCGACTAAAGCAACTGTACATATGTTAGGTATAATAAAGTTTATTTTAATTCCTATTATTGGAGGGTTTTTTAAGTTTTTATTAAAAAATGTCGTTTTTTAGGAGGCTTAAAAAATCAACTTAAACCAGAGGAACATCGAGAAGAAATGAGAAAATGGCGCCGAAATTCTATTAGAATTTCAAATGGTGAACAGCTACAGAGGCAGATGTCTGCGCCTTCTTCCATTTCTTCAAATTTCTCTAGCAGTTCGCTTACACATATTTCATATAATCCCCAAACACCATCTTCAAGCCAAATGAGTTGGCAAAAGAAAAAATAGAGAGTGATCTTATATTTTATATTAAAATGTCCTCACTCGCGCTTTATCTGTCTAATTTAGTTTCGGGTTTTGATAATTTATTCCAAAATTTATCTTCGATTTTATTTCTTTCAAAAATTCTTCAAAACTTGTACATAAACTTGGACCAATTTTTCCTTAATAAGAAATACAGAAATTTTTTTCTTGTATACTTGCCTTATTTCCTCGCCCTATCTTTCACTTTTTCTAGGAAAGTGTTGTCGCCATTTTTTCATTTATTGATTTATTTAACTTTCGCCTATAATAACTAGCATTAAAAAATAAAATTTCAAGAACACGTGACAATTTTTTCAGAAAAGCTGTGGGCTTTAACTATAATCCTTAGCTTGCCTCCAAATGTTCTAACAAAAATCTCCAGTTAATAAATCTTTTAAATAATGCACAGAGCTTTCTTCAGTTGACAGCAACTCTTGAATGTGTCTAACCTTTAAGTCAAATATTTCTCTCCCCAAATTTTATTCACACGCCCTCGTTTATTGATTGTTTTTTTGTGTCAATTCTTAACGGGAATTATTCACGTCTATTATTTGCGCTGATTTATCAAATAGTAGTGGGAGATAGAGGGTTAGTTTTTCGGTTTATTAATCACAACTGTTCCCTTTACGTTTTCGGACTTTGGCCTTACATCTTTACCTCCTCCTTTTTTCAATTATTTAATGACAAAAAAAGTTATCGGAGCAGTCTGCTTTTTTAATTTTTATTGTGGCTAATTGATTTGGGTACATTATTGTAGTAGTAGGCGTACATAAACCTCCCACTCACTCTTTATTGTTTAACATAAACAAAATTTACAATAATATAAAACCACTTTTAAATGACTGAAAATGATTAGAAATTTATTTTAAGTATTACATAATGCTTATTATTTATGTTTGTAATGCTTGTTAATTAAAAAAATTTTTTTAAATTACAAATGTTTAGATTTTAGATAAAGATTATTAAAAAAATGTCAGACCAAAAGCTTTCTTCAGCTAGCACTTCTGAATTTTCTCAAAACAAACATTCATCATTTCTTCGACGCTGTTCAATCTCCGATCCACGTTTGGATATTTTACCGGAAAAAGGTTATTTTCTAGATATATATTTTTGTTACAATTTATTACTTTAAGCGTTAAACCCTTTTAACCGTGTGCTTTCTGGACTTTTTGATGGAAATTCAGCATATTCGAGTAAACGAACCGATAGTGTAGAATCAGTGGAACAGGATCGTCATCACCAAGGAAATTCGTTTTCAACTTCGCCAAGGTAATTAATTTTAATTAAGGTTTTGGTTGGGTATTTTTCTCAAAACTCTACCAAATATTTTGAAGAAAATATGGAAGGACAAAATAACATTTCTCTTTCCATCCCACTTGATTACTGATCACTTGATAAAAAACATTCTCTTTTGTTTATGTTTCGTTCATAGTTCTTTGTGCCCCACGTGGTTGGGTGCATATACTGGTAGCAATGTGACGTTTTTTCTATAGTGATTTTCGGGGATGCACCGACTTGAGAAACTAACCTCACGTTGCGTTGAGTAAGGACAATTAAAAAAGACCACCCCATTAATTTTAAAGAGTATATAAAAATCATCAGTTTTAAAAACCGTATTTTAACTGTTTGTTGTATTAAACCTCCAAATTTGGTCAAATTTTCATTTTATTTTTTCAACAGAGATAACCAACAAATAACTCAACTACAACATCATAAAGAAATTCCGACAAAAAAGACTACAACATCTTCGACTTCTGCCACACCAATACTTCGCAAATCTTCTACAAGTATAGGCGCTCTTTCTCCATTACAACACAATCATTTCTCAACAATATTGGAAATGGCTGAAGATCAAGGACTTACAATGTCGGCACGTCAAACACCAACACAGAGTACTACTTTTGAAAATAAAAATGAGAAAAATAAAAGAGAGTTAGCGACAATGCGCAGTGCCACTGAAATGGCCGCTGCTGGAACGCCTCAAAAATGCGTATAATCTTTAAACATTTATAAATTTGGTGTGAAAAATTTATTTTTAAAGAATGGTGGTGGGTTCATGCGTATGTTTGGTAGTGGTGGATTTCTTTCAAAACCGCTGATGCACACTGAGGAAGAAAATTATCGTTATATTATGGCATTGGATCGATAATAAGGATGATGAATATTTTGAGGAACGAGAAGTAAACGGGGATTTGTTTAAAATAAATTGGAAAGAACAATTTTCAAGTTGCCGAAATCAATTTGCTTAAGAGATATATATCGCTAATCTACATATGTGTATAATTTTTTTAAGACGAATACAAATTAGTATTTTTTTATTTAATTTTTATTTTGTTTACATTTTATTTTTTGAGGGGGGGGGTTGTTTACTATTTTTTCAATTTTTGAGCGATTCAACATCAAAAAATAGAACGATATCGATAATACAGCAAGAAAGTTGTGATACGAAAACTGGTTGAATGTTTAGGGAGTAAATGGACTATTTCTCATGTATTATCGGGCAAAAGATAAGTGTAAGAGAGAGGGAGTTTATAAGGAATAAATACGTCTTTTCTTTATTTTTAAGTAGTAGTGCATCTTTGTACAATTTATACTCTTTTAATCATTTAAAAAATTATTTTTTTAGTCAACATTTTTTGACAATATTTTTAATTTTCTTAATCAAATATGGTTGCTAAACTTATCAACGGAACGGGTAAACTTATTAAACTGTGATTAAGGAAAATTTCCCTTAAACAGCAATTGCGCAAGAAGTGCTGGATGAAGTTGCGGAGAGATTGAAGAAAACTAGAGCAGAAGTTCCTGGATTTTCTGTTACCTTAGCTGTAGTACAGGTTCAATAACAATATTTAATGGTCTAAAATTTTAATGAATTAAAGGTTGGAAATCGTAGCGATTCAACTGTCTACATAAGTAAAAAGTTGGAGAAGGCAAAGCAGGTTGGAGTTCAATCAGAGTTGTCAAAACTTGGAACTGACTGTGATGAATTTGAGTTGGAAAGTGTGATTGAGCGATTGAATAATGATCCTCATATTGATGGAATAATTGTTCAAGTAAGTGAAAATTAAGCTGATTAAATCCGTCAATATTTTTAAGCTTCCATTGGACACTGTGAACAAGATTGACGTTGAAAAAATCCTTGACAAAATTCGACCTGAAAAAGATGTTGATGGTTTAACTCGAATGGTTGGGCATTTATAATTATCTAAATTTATTTTTTTAATTAGAATGTGGGGAAACTGGCGAGAGGAGAGTTGGATTCTGCAATTATTCCTTGTACTCCTTTTGGATGCCTTCGTTTAGTACAAAAGGCAACAGGTTAGTTTTTAATTTTTTAAATGATCAGGGTCTAATATTGTTTAAGGTGATGAAAATTTTGTTCAAGGCAAACGTGGTAGGAATCTTAAGAATTGACATTTTGTTTAATTTTTTTCTAAAATTTGGAAAATTAATTTTTGAATTTAGTTGTTGTTTTGGGTCGTTCTAAAATTGTTGGTGCTCCAGCTGCTGCTCTTTTTACATGGTTATAATGATTTATAAAAATTAATATAAAATATTTAAAAAATTGAGGTATAATGGAACGACAACTTTGTGTCATTCGCGCACTCAAAATATTGCGCAAGTTTGCCGAGAAGCGGATATACTTATTGTTGCAATCGGACAAAAACAAATGATCAGGGGTGATTGGATAAAGCCTGGTGCTGTTGTTATTGACTGGTTAGTTAATAGGACTAGATGATAATCTTTGATTTAATCTAAATATGTATTTGCAGTGGAATAAATGTGGAAGAATTGAGCAATGGGAAACGACGACTTTTTGGTGACGTTAATTTTGATGAAGCAAAAGAGGTTGCAGGTTATATAACTCCCGTTCCTGGAGGTTTAATATAAAATTTAATTTATTAAAAATATAATCCGAAGGTGTTGGGCCTATGACTGTTGCTATGCTTATTCGAAATACAGTTGAACAGGCAATTATCACTAAATTAAAGGTTTTTTTATAATTTTTGCATTATTAAGTTTAAAATAATTTTTTAGTTGGGTCAGACTTCTGACAAATGGCCCCTTGCTCCATTGGAATTGCATATCAAATCAGTAATTTAAGACTTTTAATCAGTAATTTAATCTTTAAAATTTTTTTATTCCCACTTCAGCCTGTTCCATCAGACATTTCAATTTCACGTATGCAAACTCCAAAGTTATTATTTCGATTTTAAATCTTAAATTAATTAATAATTCACAGGCCAATTGACAGACTTGCATTTGAAATTGGTATCCGTCAAGAAGAACTTGAAGCTTATGGACATACAAAGGCAAAAGTATCTCTTGAAGTATTGGAGCGTCTTGAAGGATGTGCTGAAGGAAAATATGTTGTTGTTGCAGGTTTTAAAATTTTTTGAAAGGCTAAAAAATAAACCCTTTTAAGGAATTAATCCGACACCTTTGGGTGAGGGAAAATCCACAACAACAATTGGATTGTGAGAAAATTTCATTTTAAATATTTTAAAAAATAATTGTTAAGAGCGCAATGTTTATCGGCGCATTTGGGTAAAAATACCTTTGCGTGCGTCCGCCAACCGTCACAGGGTCCCACGTTCGGTATGTTTTCAATTGAAAAACAAAAGTTATTTGAAAAATCTTTACAGGAGTTAAAGGTGGAGCAGCTGGTGGAGGTTATTCTCAAGTTATCCCAATGGAAGAATTTAATCTACACTTAACTGGCGATATTCATGCTATAAGTCAAGTAATTTTGCAAGAAGAATGTATTAAAATTCTCTAACTTCTATTTAGGCTCACAATTTAATAGCTGCCGCTTTGGATGCCAGAATTTTTCACGAAGCAACACAATCTGACACAGCTTTATTTAATCGTTTAGCACCAAAGAATAAAGAAGGTTAAATTAATCACCCATTCATTAAACTTTTTTTTAGGAAAGAGACCTCTTTGTGATGCTCAACGCCGTCGATTAGTTCGTCTTGGGTTTCCTGATGTTGATGACGGTGAATTGCTGAATGCGGAACAGCGCCGATCTTTTTCGCGTCTCAATTTGGATGTTGAGGGCGATGCTATTTTTTGGAATCGTGTTGTAGATTTAAACGATCGTTTTTTGCGTCGCATAGAAATTGGGCATGGACCGCAAGAGAAAGGACATGTTCGGAGTTCCGAATTTGCAATTAGTGTCTCCTCTGAGGTTCACTGAAAGAAAAATTTTTTAAATGTAAATTTTTTAAGCTTATGGCTATTCTTGCACTTTGTACAAGTTTTTCTGACTTACGCAACCGAATTAGACAAATTGTTGTTGGAAATGATCGTGATGGAAATTCAGTAACTGTTGATGACCTTTGTGTTGCGGGAGCAGTTGCAATACTAATGAAGGTTTTTAGATGTTATAAAATTAATTACTCATTATCTCATTGTTAGGATACTGTGAAACCGAATCTGATGCAAACACTTGAAGGAACACCAGTTTTTGTTCATGCAGGACCTTTTGCAAACATTGCACACGGAAACTCATCAATTCTTGCGGATCGTGTGGCTCTTAAGTTGGTTGGCTCTAATGGATTTGTGATTACTGAAGCTGGCTTTGGTGCTGATATTGGAATGGAAAAGTTCTTCAATATTAAGGTTTATTTGCTTAAGTCCAAAATTTTTAAAATTTTCTAAATTCAGTGTCGTTCTTCTGGTTTACTGCCTAATGCTGTAGTTATTGTGTTGGTTCTTTTAAACTTAATTGAAATGAAATTCGAAATTCAGGGCTACCGTTCGAGCTCTAAAAATGCATGGGGGTGGTCCTGCTGTTGTTGCCGGATCTCCGCTTCCTTTTGAATATTTGAATCCAAATGTTGAGCTTGTCAGAGCAGGTTGTTCTTCTAATTTGCGTAAGCAAGTTGAAAATGCGCAGCATTTTGGTGTCCCTGTTGTTGTATGCATAAATCGTTTTGGATCCGATTCTGAAGACGAATTGGCTGTTGTTGTTGACGGCTGCAAAGAACAATTTGGCGTTGATGCCGTAGTTTCTGAACACTGGGCTATGGGTGGAAAAGGTGCTATAAAACTGGCAAAAGCACTTATTAATGCCTGTGAAAAACCTTCAAACTTTAAGTATGCTATTATAACTTATATAAACTAATTCAATTTTAAAGGTTTCTTTACTCATTGGGCGATCCGATAGAACAAAAAATGAGAATAATTGCACAGAAAATCTACGGAGCAAAGGACATTGAAATGTCTCCAGAAGCACGTAAAAAGGCGGAACAATTCTGTCATCAAGGTTTTCTACAATTTCCTGTTTGTATGGCAAAAACACACTTGTCTCTTTCACATGATCCAACAAGAAAAGGAGCGCCAAAAGGTTTTAAAAAATTTCGAGGAATAATTTTCGTATTTTAATATTTAGATTTTATTCTGCCGATTCGAGATGTTCGTCTCTCTGTAGGTGCCGGCTTCTTTATTTGTATTGCTGGTGAAATCGTTCTCATGCCTGGACTAGCGGTATAAAATTTAATTAACGGGGTGGAGGGTCAAAATTACAAAGAAGCCCCCCTCCCCAACATCTAAAAACTTTCAAAAATTATTTTGGAAAATATCCTTATCAAGTGTAATTTTTGATTAGTAAAAATTAATTTTACAGACGAGGCCTTGCTTTTTCGACATGGACATTGATCCAATGTATGTTATATGTGTATTTAAATAATCTAAATTTGTAAAAAAATTTCAGTACGCAAGTGATAGATGGTCTATTCTGATTTTAAGTAAATTGAAGACTTACATTAACAGAATCTAAAATTTAGAATTACTTAAATTATTAGTTTTATATAATTTTCCTTCATTAATTAAGGAAAATATATTCTCCACCAATTAATAAATATTTAAAAAATATATTCCCTTGAAAGGATTTTTTGCTACATTTCTTCCGTTGCCAGTTAACTCTGGCACGGGTAAGCATTCATTGTATCTGGTGCTAAAGTACAAATATTCTTTGGCAAGCGTCGACTCTTCCGTTCCTTTTCTATAAAATTGAGAAAACTGTGCCATAGTCTGGCAATAAGAACTACGCTGAATATTTACTCTTTATTATGCTTGCTGCTCTAGAAAATGCCAAATCCTCGCCCAAAATTTTAACCTTTGTTAACCTTGCTGTGTTATTCCGAATTTTTGTTATATTTTCATCTACAATATCAATTAAAATGGAATAAATTTGAGTGAATGTCTTCAACAAAATATCAGAAAGGTTTGGTAGCTTATTTTATTTTGCCATAACTATATTTGGACTCTACTCCAGTTTATGAGTCCATAAATTGAGATTGGACTCATAAACTGGAGTAGAGCCTATATTTGTTAGGTGTTTTTGAATCGGTGAATTCCGTATTTGATGAGAATCAACAAGACGATGTAGTTGATGATAGCGTCTATGATGGTGAAGAAAAAATAGATGCGAACGCCGAGGCTCGTATGGAAATAATTACTTCACTTTTTCCGGTCTGTGGTGGAGGAAAACCATTTTCTGCTGTTCGTCGTCGCTTATTGCCCAAATATTTTGAACAACCTGAGGAGCTATTTGATGAATTTGGATTTCGTCTCCCAGATCTGGATGGAACTGTTGATCCTACAGCCGAACAAATGCCTCTGGAGTCTTCTTCTCAAAGGTACTTAGGGGTTTATTCCTTTATTTAAGCATTCGAGAAGTAACTATCTTAAGAATGCATTGGTTGGCATTAATACAAAACACGCATAGTCAGGTGGAGGAAGCACTAACATGGGCTAATGTTGACATTAAGCAAGGTTAAAAAATAAATATAATGCAAAATTTATTTTATTCAGTACAAAATGTTCCTCGTTTTGAACAAATGCTACTTCAGGAAGGTGGTATTCCACATTCATTGAGACCATTTCTATGGCCATTACTCTGTGGTGCTCTCGAAAAACGATCAAAAAGTAAGGGTATTTATTAATTTTACTAAACTGACTTTATTTTCTCTAATAAAAGGCCCATTCGTTTATGCTAAAATTGTGAGCAAAAGTGAAAAAGAAGGAGCACCTTCTGTGAATGTACAAATAGAGAAGTATATTTTTTAATTTTTCCTAAACTATAAAATTCTTTAATTTAGAGATCTGTTACGAACATTACCCAGTCATTACTCGTTCAGTAAGGCTCATTCACCAGGAATTGCGCCACTTAGAAGAGTACTAAGGGCACTTGCTTTTCTTTTTCCTGAATTGGGTTATTGTCAGGGAATGGGCCTGGTAGTTGGAAACCTTCTACTTGTTTGCTGTGAGGAGAATGCTTTCTGGGTAATTTTTCTAAATAAATATTACTAATTTAATAACTTCAGATAATGTCTTGTCTGATTGAAGATTTATTGCCATCCTCATACTATTCTCCATCTCTTCTTGGAGTTCGTGTAGATGAAAGATTGCTCAGACATTTGGTTCAGGTTTTATAATGATCAAGTTAAATCATCAAATTATCGTGGCAAATTTCTAGGTGCATATGCCGGAACTTACAGAATTAATGCACGATCTCAATGCGGATATATCGATGGTCATCGCTAATTGGTATAATTTTTTAATTCTATTGATTAAAAAACTAATTAAAGGTTGATTACATTGCTTGCTTCCGCATTCCCGCCTCGAATACTCTTCCGCATTTGGGATTGGATTTTTGCTTTTGGAAGTTCTGTCCTTTTTCGCATTATTTTATCGATGTTAAAATTAAATGAAGAAAAGCTTCTAGAACGATGGAGAAATGCAAAGTCTTCATCTTCTTCAGATCCCGGTTCAGAACTTTTTGCGGCCATTAGTAGACTATCATCTGAAATTTCTGGAGTTGAAGATCTGCTTGAGATGGCACATTCCTTTGAATTTTCTGTCACTGATCATTTAATTAAGGAGTTAAGGCGGAAGTATCAGGTTACTTGACTTTTGCAAAATTCGAGTAGGATATTTTGCAGGCAGTTATTTCATCAGGAACACAAATGGATGTTATAATTGATCATGAGGACGGCAGCTTTAATGAAGGGGCAATCAAACAAAAAGTAACGCGCCGAAAACTACATCGTACTACCAGCGTTGTTCGTCGTATTTTTCAGCAGCAGCAACATGTAAAGGATGATAACGAAAATGAAGATGACCCTCGTAGAAAGAATATTCGTCAAACAGAATTATTATTGGATTTGCGTAATGCTATAATTCAAATTTGTGCTCATTTCTCTGAATGTAATGAAAAGGAACATTGTGACCGACAAATTTGTACCCAGGTTTTTTTAATTTTTAATTACTTGAAATTTTTTGTATCAGGCTGATTATTCTTTGGGTTTCGATTCAACTAAAGAACGAGAAATTTTCTTTACCACACGAAATGAAGTTGGAGAACGAAAAGCAAGAGCTATAGCTGATTTTGAACAAGAAGACGAGCATGATTTGGGATTTCATCGAGATAATATTATCCAAATTGTTTCAACTGAAGATGAACACTGTTGGATAGGTGAATTAAATGGAAGGTATTTTCAACTCTGTTATTTAATATCAAAATTTGAATTATAGACGTGGTTGGTTTCCCGCTAAATTTGTCCAGGTTGTTGGAGAACATTGTAGAAATTATTGCATTAAAGGAGATGAAGTATTTTTTCATTTGTACAACTCGAAATTATTTTTTTATTAGGTTTTAAGTCCTCGTATTGCTGAACTTGTTCGTGGTGCTTTTGCATTTGCCTTTCGTCAAATTCTTTGTCATGGGTATTATTACATAATGATCATTTCTGAATTTTCTCTTCAGAATCAGACAAACCAATCGCCATTTTGGTATTCTCTCGTCATCAAACGCATCACACCCGTGGTCATTCATTGGTATTCTTTTATAATTTTTGTTTTCCATTTGATGGGATGTAATTTTCAGAGGCTGTTTCTAATGGACTAGCTGGAACAAAATGTGGTGGAAGCATTGGAGAAAAAGTTGGTCATTTGGCAGAGAACACTTCTAGACTTACATTATCAACAACTTTTCGGTTGGATCAAGATGGAAGAGTCCTTAGTCCAGAAGAATTACTTATATTGGCTATTCATTCAATTAATTGTTCTCATGAGCCTGCAAATGCACCTCTTGATGGAAAATTTCGTTCCCTTGTAGTATTTGGATTGAATGAACAAGTAAAAATTAAATGGTTATATATTTAAATAATTTTGTTTAGTGTTTACATCTCTGGTTTAATATTTTTTGTCATTCAAGTGGGCAAGATGCTTTACGTGAACGTTATTATCACTCATGGTAATCGTTATTAATTTAAAACAATTTTTAAAAATCGAAAACCATGACGGAATTCTTATTTTTTTATATTCACAGGTCTTTTATACGTTCACCCGCCTCTCAACAGGTCTGAATTTTTATAAATATTTTGGGAAAATTATTTATTTTTAACCAGATATGCTGCGAATTAAAATTATTAATGCAGTTTGGCTTCAGTTTTAACGTCGATTCAGAGATTGTTTGCGCCGAAGAATTAAAAACAACAGCAGCAGCATCAACAAATGATAAAAAGAATATGGGTGAGAATGGAATAGTAAATGAAACTGGTGACAAAAAAGGTTTATTAAGAAACGGAATTCCGTTAAAGGAAGGAGTTCGCGATTTATTAATCAAACATCATTTGTTTAGTTGGGATATTTAATATATTCGTTTAAATTTGCTACTTACTAAAATCTCTGCTTATCAATTTTTATCAATTAAACACAGGTTTAATTTTTAATTAATTTTATTCTTATTAATTGAATAGATCTCTAAGTTCTCCTTTTTATAAATAGATACTATTAATCAATTCAAACCACCCATTCAAAGTCAAATAAATATTCACGTCAGCCAAACGTTTTCGATTTTATGTATTTGTTTAAACTAGTGTTCTCACACCCGTGTTTTTTGCTAACAATCTTTTATTGATTGGTCCCCAAATTGTTCTAAAAACCATTTTGATAGTATGTATCTATTTATTCTACTCATTAATTGTTACGATCTTTGGTTTCTATTTTAAAAAAATATTTTTTCATATCAATTTTATAATGCAATGCAAAATTTTCTAATAATTTCTATTTTTAGTTTCTTTTTTTCTCCTTCATTACATTTCTTTGTATTATATTATGTATTTGTTTCAATTTCTATTTTTGGATATTGAACGTTATATTTTTGAATTATAATTTGCGACTTTCTTTTAAACTAAGAAAAAAACAGTTGTTATCATTCAATCTTTCTAGGCCTTTTTAAAAAAACCAATTTATATATTATCCCCATGCTTGTTCGTAGCTTGATTTTTCCGCCTATTTTTTAATTCACGAAATTTTGGGAAGGTTTTAAATAAGTTGCAATTATAAATGCGCGTTTATAAATAAATGCTATTTTGGGTCTTCGCGCAGCACTTAGCTTTTAGTAAAAAAGGAATTATTGTATTCTTTTCTTTTACAAATATCTATGCATCCTTTCCTCCGAAAATCGACCCATACTGCCCATAATTTTGTTTTGCCTGTCCACTGGGTGGCTCTTTTTTACTTTCTTCCAAAATGTCTCTGATCTAAATGATGATCAATAACACCTCGCAAAAACAAAAATTGCAATTAATGTACGAATTATTTAAAGGAATTTTTTTTTATTAAAAGTGTGAAAACCACCCCGAAACTAATGGGTTTTCGAAACTGTAAACTTCCGCCCAATCTAATTTAATTACAATTCAAAATCATTCTAATAAAGCGTGACCATAGAATTCTTTATACAATTAAGTTGTTAGTCCAAAGTTTGCTAAGGAAATGGAGAATAAAAATGATAGTGAAAATTGTACAACAAAATTATTAATGTCGCAACAACCAAAAATAACAACAACTAATACTAATAAAGGACCATTACTACAAGGTGGTTGTTTATCTGCAGGTTTTTGGACTGGTGGCACAGCTGCAAGTTGGCGTAACTCTGCTGGTATTTTTTTAAGTAAATAATTTATAAACAATTTAATTTAAGGATCAAATCCAGTCGTTTCTCCGGCCCGTCAAGTTGAGAATTCCCCTTCACCGCAATTGGCATTACCGAGTGAAGATTCATCAAATGCTTCGTCAACTTCAGCACATTCTTCCCCTCTTGTATCACCTCATCCTAGCACTGATCAAAGTCTTCAAACAACTTCTGAATTTTCTGGCGATCGTAGTGAAAGAGCTGGTGGCTCACTTCCGGTTGGACAAATTACAAATTTTTCTTATCCTTCTCCAATCTCTTCTAAATCAGTGAAAAGTAACGGCCTGCCATCAACAACATCAGAAACAGCAATACTTAATGAAGGAGACAAGAACCTCCAGGCGTTTTTAAAGGCATTTTATTATTTCCGCATTTATTCTTAAAATTAACCACTTAATATAGGCTATTGAACAACATAAACTGGCACAGCCAGTTTCTGATCAGGACAAACAAAAAATTTTGACATGGCTCAAAGATGACATGACAACAATGGAAGGTACTACTATTGAGTTATTGCCTCATCCTTTGATAAATGAGGTAGTTCAATTTTATTAAATTACAATTTTTATCTGTTTGATTATAATTCGATTCGAATATAATCAAACACCATACCACTTTTCTATTACTTCCTTAAAATTGGTCATGCAATTTTTTGATTTTTTAAATATTGAAGACGTGAAATGAAAAGTTTAGAAAGAATTATGGGCTATCGATGGAATGAGGAAAGAGATATTAGGCTAGTAGGAAATTCCTTCCAAAATAGCAAGTGGTCCTTCGAATTATGTGTACTATGTCTAAAAGATGTTTCTTTGTGACGAAAAAACATTAAAAGATGTTGGACGGATTAAAAGAAGATCGACCACATTACTTTTCTGAAATTTAAAGTCCTCTTGAGTCTTCACACCTATAATAACAACAACAAACATTCCTCGATCGCTATCCGCCTGTTCTTTTATGGACGCCACCCAACACTATCTAGCTTTCTCAAAGCCACATTCCAAAGCATTGGCCATTTACTTCTCTATTACTGCTAACTGCTATTATAATCCCAAAATCTTAAGGAAGGCAAAGTCAATAGTTTCTTATTTACTGATCAGCCATTAAATTCTTTATTACTGGCAATTGTCTTCGGCTCAGCATTCCATTGATGATGGATTTTTTCATTGTTTTCTTCTCTACTTTATTAATTCCATTTTTTGCTATATTTTAAGAGGATTTTATAAATTTTTTGATAATAATTAATCTATTCTTCCATCATACCTAATCAAAATTCGTCGAAAATCTGATCCCGCCGCCCTTATTTGGCGGAGTGCCACTACATCAACAACTGCTAATAACGATGTAGCTGAACCGCTAATACGGAAATGGTCAACAAAATCCAATTGCAGTGGAAGAGGGGGTGCCGATCACCATCAGCTGAGAACTTTGCGGGAGCAGATGGTTTGCAACAAGAGTGCTGGTAATGTTGCCAGTAAAGGGAGGTGAAGAATTGAACTTTGATTAGTTGAAGATCTAAATGAAAAATTTATAGAGGCAGTACATCCAGTTGCGGCTCTCGACCACTTCTTCCATTTCTTGTAAATCATAGTGATTCAGCTATTGGTTCTTCCCTTGATGGATCTTTCTCCTGCTCTTTTCTGCCACCACCTCCTCCTTATCGACCACCCTGTTCTACTGCATCAGGAAGCGATGACGTATTTGGTGCTGCAGAGCAACAACAAAAAGCACCACAAGGGAAAGATTTTACATCATTGTTAGGATTTGATACATTAGTACTCCCATCATCAACGAGCACCAGAAGCGGAAGTGAAGAACAGAAAAATAAACAGCATACACCAGCACCAACGAAAATCATGCAAAAAGATTCGGTGCAATTGGAACCATCTATAATAACACCAAAGAATAATCAATGTTCAGTTAATAATAATCATTGTTTGTCAACTAATGATTGCTTAGCAACTAATTGTTCATCAATAAAAAAGTTTCCTCCTGAAAAAAATCAACAGATTTTACCCTCAACCAATCAAAAATCGCAGTCTTCATCTCATATATTCCAATGTAACAATAACATACAATTGGAGCAAGTAAAAAAAATTTTTTTTAATTATCCCTTTATTGCCATTTCAATTTTTCATTTTCATCAGCACATGATATATGTAAAATTGCCATTTCTTCTTAAGAATGCCAAAAATTATAAGGTTATTAGTTCAGGAAGATGAGGGTTATTTAGACGGATAAAAGAGGAAAAGAGCGAGTGAGCCAATTCTCTTTTTTACAAATTGGAGAGAATAAATGAGGACCATGGCCATTTCAGTTATTTATTAGCATTCCTTTTACCTATTTTTTGGTTACTAGTAATTTCATCCTCTTGAAATATGCAATATAAGCTTGGTTTATATCTGGACCAAAGAGCTTACCGCCTAGCCATCCGTATCCGGTCGTTCGTTTCTCTTCAACGAGCTTTATTACATGGAGTGCCAATTACAGCCATTTCTAGCTTTTTGGCATTTTTAAATCTTTTTCTTTCTACTTTTCATTTCACGTCCATTTTAGAATTTTCTCAGGTACTCTATTTTCATTTTCTAAATTTCATTTTTTGTTTTTTCTTTTTCAATATTTTGAGTGTAAGATGCGTAAAAAATTAAACGAAAACGGGATTTAAAAAGCCACTAATTATATTAATTAGTATTTTTGTTGCGTATGTTCAGCTAAAGAACAAGACTCCCCAAATGCATCCAATTTGGCCAAATATCCTTTAGAAATTGAAGAGGATATTGCCCCCAGAAATGAAAAGAAATGGAAGAGACTCGCTCAGGAAATGGGAAAAAGGCGGACATTTATGGAACCAAACAAAATTGAATGAAGAAGACGCCTGTTTCTTCTTCTAATTTTGGCCAAATTACTTGGTGACATTGATGGGGACAACGGTTTTTTATTGTGTACTAGCTTGGTCTTTTGGGAGGGATTATGGATCGAAGTGAGTGCCGTACACATATTTCTCTCCCGCCTGGGACCAGTTCGATAAAGACGGCACTCCCTCTCTCTTTCCCTTCCAAGTAATCTGTTTAAGGCGCCCGCCTGTAGCATTAGTAAAAGCATTGTAAATGTTTATATCAATTCCTTTTTCTTTTAATTTTTGTTTTGTTTATTGACAAACGATCTTTCTAACATTCAAATTTCTTATGCATAACTTTTCATATAAAATTCTATTTTAAATTTTAAATCCCTTGTTTTTTATAGAGCCCTTCTCCAATTGCTATGTCATGTTCAGAGTTTCATTGCGATGATCGTGAACGTGTCCAGCATTTACTTGCTTCCCGTGACAGGTTTCTGTACTTTCCATATACAACATACATTTATTTAATTTTAATTTTCAGCCTTTCATTAAAAGTAGCAATGCTCACTAAACAAGTAGCATTTCAACGAGAAAAAATTCACGAGATGGAAACGATGCTTAATTCTCGTCATAATGATGGAGTAAACAATAAACAAAATAGCAATGAATTAATTGAACCAATTGCTCAAGAATTAGCTAATTTACAACATAAGAATTTGGCATTAGAACGTGAAAAACTTGAAGCTGAACGGAGCTTAAGACTTTCAAATGTGAGCACCTTATTTTTATAAAATCTATTACAATATTCATAGAGTGAATTGGAACATTATGTTTCCGAACAGCCGTCTTTATCAAAGACTCAACGATCGAAAAATTGCAATGACACTTCTGTGAACCAAGCTGAAATGGAAAGGCTACAACTGGCAATTCAAAGGCTATTGGCCGATAATGAACAAAAAGTAAGATATTAAAAAACCTTTCTTTAAAAAATTTCAATTTTTGGGACTCTCAAATCCAATCTTTACGCTCTGCTCTTGATGAACAGCGACGGATAGGTATGATGAATGGAAGTGAATGTTCTACACCACCTTTGGCTTTCCGCAATCTGCAACAATCACCGCCAGACATAAACGAGCAAATTAGGCGTATCCTTTTCAACGGAGATAATGGTCAACATTTTCAACAAAATACTCAACAAATGGCTCATTCCAATTCATTCCCTTTAAGTTTATGCTCAACTGTTGCATGTTCTAGTAGTCAACAAACAGTACCACGCATTCACCATCAACAACAAAATTCTCATCAGCATTATCAACAATCATTCCCTGCCTTTATGCCTATGTCAAACTCATTTTCGTTTTCACCAGGCTCTCAGCAGCAACAAATAGTTGCTTATACTCCGCCACTTTGGAGAGTTTCTTCACCACCTACAATTCCTCCACATTTGGGCCACTCTTCAAAGTATGTTAATGAATGATCATGCATTCTATTGTATTTTTCAACAAACTATCGTTACTTTTTATAGACCACAAGCTTCTCCAATGGCTCGTAAACTGGCTGCTGAGCTTGATGAACTACGTCGTTCGGGTGCACTTTTATCAAGTAGCGGAATACATCATCATCCACAATATTCTAGTTCAAGTCTTCCTAGGTCTATACATTCGAAGGTTCTTCTATTTGAAAAATTTGCTTGGGTATTTTATATTTTGTTTTAGTCTAATTCACTTGGCTTTTGCGCACCAAAGCTGGCCTATCAACAACAACCGAATATTTACGGAGGTGAGTTAGTATTGAGTAAAATGAGGACAGCAAAGGAAGATGAAAATTTTTCAACCCTCCAAAAGTTAAAAAAAGGATTAAGAAATAGTTTCCGTGGTCGAGCACGATCTTTCGACAAAGATAAAGAGAAGTTATCAAACCGGCGGTCCCGATCTACGCCAAGTTTTGCTGGTGACAGAGAAACACAGTTAATGTTAGAACCTGACGAAAATCGTAAGTGACTTGAGTAAGCTCCAATTTCTGTTTACTTGCTTGGTTATTTACAAAATTATGGTGACGGTTTTCTTTATTTTATATTTTAGTTTATTTAATATACTGTCCTTATTTTACGCTTTATTTATGCTTATTAGTTAATTCTAATTTTTATTTTTAGAAAGCGATGACGAAAATGCCTCTCGTTTCTCTTCATCTGCAAGTAATTCTCAACAAAATGGCAGTAGATTTAATCATAACAAAAAAGAAAAGCGAGTAAGACGACCACGTTCTACATTACGTTCATTCCTTGGTAAATTTGCTCATCGTGGAAATTCTCTCCAGGATTTAAGGCCATCACCTCGGTTTGTTTTAAGATTTGCAAAACAGTTTATATTTTTTTAAATTAAAGTCTGCCTTCACCTATTTCTTTTCTTAATACAAATGTACCAGTTCAAAAAATTGATTCAACATTGATTTGTTTAAATCCTCATATTAAACAATTTGTTGAATGGGATGGGCACAAATGTACTCGGTGGCTTATTGAATGTGGATTTGATGGTTTCATTTTTGATGCTATTCATAGTGGGCGCCACTTATTAAATATGTCGGACAAAGATTTTGAGCGTGATTTGGGAATTAAAAGTGCTTTACAAAGAAAAAGATTGAAATGTTTGCTGACTAGAATTGAGAAAAAAATTGATAATGGTGAAATCGAAGCTGTTGATAGGCTTGACACTAATCAGGTATGTGTACAATTTTCATCGAAAATAATTAATGCATTATTTTAAAGGTTATGATTTGGTTGGATCTGATAGGATTGCCTCAATTTAGAGATCTTTTTGCCAGTTATCGAATGGATGGCCGTGTAAGGTCCAGAAAAGATTAATAAATTAATTTTTTCATTAGTTGCTACTCGAATTATCAGCACAAGATTTATTAGAACTTGGAATTCATTCAGCATTGAATCACGCATCATTGGCAAGAGCCATACAATTTTTGCGATCTGCAGAATTTCATCTTCACCGAATGGAGGAGCATTTCAATACGGTAGAATTTTAATTTCTTAGATTTTGCCCAAATATCCCAAATATCATAGGATTCATTGACCAGAACTTCTGTGCCTAATGAAGTGGAACGTTGGAGTCATGGTTGTACTCTTGGTTGGCTTTGTAGCATTGATCTTTCTGAGTTTACACGTAAATTTTCTTTTGATTTTCATGCATTCTCTTAAAAATTTATAGAAAATTTGGCCTTCTCCGGTATCCACGGTGCATTGCTTGTGTTAGAGCCTACATTTACATCAGAATCACTCGCAGAATTATTACAAATTCCAGTACAGAAAACTTTACTTCGACGTCATTTAACAACACAATTCAATACCCTTCTTGGTCAAAAAGTACAATTCATTGTGTTAATCATTTAAAAATTAATAATTAAACACTAGGTGATAACCCACAAGAGAGATGTAGTTTCACAACCTTTTGTAACACATTTAACGCCTTCACTACGTATAAAGGTTTAAATGTATTTTATATATTTTTATACCTTAAGTTTAATCTTTCAGTTAGCAAAAAAAGGTGTCGGTGTTGGTTTTTCATTGTCACGGAAAAAGTCAAAGTCTGATATATTTGTCGAGCCAGAAGTTCGAGTATGCCCAGCTGAGGCGAATGGAAATACTGGTGAGGCAATTACCAATGTTTAATTTTGATAAATGTCTCAATTAATTTAAAATCAAATTTTATTTTCTTTTTTTTTGTATTTATCTTTTTGTACTTTATGTATTAAAAAACATTCATAATATGACGCATTTTGCCAGAATGACCCACCGTCATTTAGTAAAAATGTCTGGCCATCGAAAATATTAAACGTCTTAATAAAAAGCCATAACGTTCAGATACGTCAAATAGTCAAAGTTATTAAACAGCGCATCGACGCCTTTGCGATCAAGTGACGAACTAATTTCTGCATTTTTACGTTACCACGTGGTTAAAATATTTGTTTTTAAACACGAGTTATAATTTGATTCAAATTTCCTGTTTTTATAAACAAATATGTAGCTAATTTTATGTCATATTTTTTATCGTGTGAGCTTGATAAATTTGTTTAATATATCTTAATAATCATGAGATCAAAGTGCGCAAACATGTAAATTAAATATTTAATTATCAACAAAATACATCAATCAAGTACAAAATAAAATTTTTTTGTCAAGGAAGGAGGATGATGAAATAATTGACTCTAATTTTTTCATAGTTCCATCATTTTTTACTTGTTTCGTTGAAATTTTAACTGTTCAAATATGGAAATGTTTTGACAAATTTGGTAAAAATTTAATTGGTATATTAAAAATAGAATTTTAATTTTAGTGTTAGTACGAGTTGATCTTCAGGGTGTTTATTTGATATTTATTTAGAGTTGTTGGTTTATTACTATGTGGATGATTATCATTTTTTAATCCTTTATTAGTTTGATGAATGCCACCATAGAAACGAAGTTACATTTAAAGTGGTATTTGTTCATCTTTATGGGTTTATTAAAGTGTCCATTAGCCTGTAGCGCATTTGCTTTAAAGTAAGCTTTAACTTTTACTAAAGAAAAAATGTTTTTGTCTCAACTACATCAATGTTCATCACTTAAACATAATCCGCAATTAATCAACAAATCGATCTTAATTACACAATATTAACAAAAACAAAAACATAGCAATAGAATTTTCTCTTTCATTGCTTTATTAGATTTCTTCAATGCTTTTGCATTTTAAATTTCATTTGAATTCAACGCTTTTTTAAATATTTAATGTCTTTAAAATATTTCGTAGCATGGTCAATTAGTAAAGACGAACAACATGATGAAATTTTATGTCGTTGAATCGAAAACCGTCAAATATTTGCGCCTAATCCACTGAAATATTTTTGCATTGAAAAACTTTTTTTACTAATTTGTTGATATTTCTTCGATACTCTGGTCAACATGATGCAATTTTCATCGACAGACCAGGCTGGATTACAGCCAATAGTATATAACGTTTTTGGGTCCTTAACAGGTTTTCAGTTTTGTCTCTACTATCAAATTACATCAAGTTTGTATTTCATTGAATTCGCGCATTTTTGTAGTCTATGTAGATATTTTAAACGTCCTTTTTTAACCATATAAGTGAGCGAAAGAATTTTATTAATGTCATCATCTTTGTGTTGATCATGTATTTATTCTTATTTCGTCGCCACGTGCGACTTGTTCCCATTCCCACAGAGACCAAACTAATCATTCTTATTTCCTTATTTGTCAATTTATAATTTCTTCGATGAAAAAGACACGCGTTTCTACGAATGACGCTTTTGTGCTCGAGGGAAAGGAGACAGTTGAAATAAGGTGCATATAAATAATTGAACGAATGAGACTAAAATCAGTTCTTTCAACCAGTCCTAAAAAATTTTTTCACTTATTTTCTATTTGTCTTTATTCTCCTGTAAATAGCTAATAATGCGCTTAGTATGCTAACAATAAACACATTTGCTAAACATTTGCATATAATTGGCATTCCAATAATTATTTTTTATACATAATCCTCTATTTTTAATTATCTTTTCTAATTTTAGATTTATATTTACAAAACTCGCGCACATTTATTATTAAACAACAATGCATACCAATTCTATTGAAAAATTGACAGCTTCTTCCCCATCCGTTTCTAACAACCCATTAATGGAACAAGAAAAACAGTTGAAACGAAAACGCCAAAGAAGACCCCAGCAACGAGATTTATGCAAAACTTTTGCCGCATTGGCCACGTTACAAGATAACCAATTGAAATCAAATTATAGGAAAGCTTCAGCTGCAGCATTGGTTAGTAATTATGAAATAGTTACGAGATTATTACATCATTTAATGAAATTAGCTTGAAAGAGATTGAAAATTTTACTTTTATCTGTTTTTAATTACCAGTATTAATTATGCTAGTATAAAAGTTTTTAAACATTAAATCAATTTTTAATTTCCTTTTAGCACATGAAGATGCCAAAACTGACAGTTTCATCACAAACTAAACCAACTAACCAATGGAAACCTATGACAGCTTCAATCCATGCTCAAACTACAGTAAATCCAATTCGTCGAGTTACTGATTGTATGTCTGTGCCAGCTAATCCAGACAAAGAACCTATCAGATTAAATCTTGGTGATCCAACATTGACGGGATGTTTACCACCTAGTGAGGCAACAATAAATGCAATTAAGAATGCAGTGGATTCGCACAAATTTGATGGTTATGGGCCTGCTGTTGGAACTCTTTCTGCTAGGGCAGCAATTGTTGAGGTACTATTCTAAGTTGAGTGGGACTGGAATTAATTTTAATTGTTGCAGAAATTTTCAACACCTGAAGCTCCATTTACTGCTGATGATGTAGTTTTGGCTTCAGGTTGCTCACATGCTTTAGAAATGGCTATTGTTGCTATTGCTGATCCAGGACAAAATATTCTTGTTCCAAGGCCTGGCTTTCCTTTGTATTCAACATTGTGCCAACCGAATGGAATTGAATCTAGGCAATATAGACTGGAAATGGATGATAAAGGATTAATTGATTTGGCCCATTTGGAAAGCTTAATTGACTCACAAACACGTAAGGAATTGATAAAATAATTTTTAGACTAAATTAACTTTTTAGGAGCTATAATTGTTAACAATCCTTCAAACCCGACAGGAGTGGTTTTTCCAAAGGAGCATTTGGAACAAATTTTGGAATTGGCACAAAAATACAAGGCAAGTTTTAATTTAAAATGAATCTAAAATCTTGATAAATCTTATTATTTCTTAATTTTCACATTTTCAGATTCCTATAATTGCTGATGAAATTTATGGTGATTTGGTATATGCTGAAGGCGCCCGTTTTCATCCTATGGCAACATTAAGTCCTCATGTCCCAATAATAACTTGTGATGGAATTGGAAAAAGATATCTGGTCCCTGGGTGGAGGCTTGGTTGGCTAATTATACACGATCGTTGCGGAGGCGTCTTGTCTGAAATAAAGAAGGGAATCGTTGCTTTAAGTCAGAAGATTGTTGGACCATGTGCACTAATTCAAGGAGCTTTGCCAAGCATTTTAAGAGATACGCCTTCCGAATTCTTTGACAACACTAAAAAACTTTTGGCTTCAAATGCTTCTATAGTATATGATAAATTAAGTAGAGTTCCTGGATTGAGACCATTGAAGCCACAAGGTTTTTGAATTAATAATTTAAAATAAAGATCGTATTATTAAGGTGCCATGTACATGATGGTTGGATTTGATCCTTCTCTCTTTGGTGATGAGACTAAATTTGTGCGTGGTCTGATTTCTGAAGAAAGGCATTAAAGATGATTATTCTTACAAGTAAAATACATATATTTTTTAGTGTTTATTGCTTGCCTGGCTCCGCCTTCTCTTTACCAAATTGGTTCCGTCTTGTATTAGCCTTTCCAAATGAAACAACAACTGAAGCTTGTGAGAGGATTGCGGCCTATTGTTCTCGACATTTACGCCCATGTGTAGAAAGATTGGAAGCAACAATGTCAATTAAAAAGAAGAATAAAGGAGGAAGGCATGAAGAAAATGGACAAGGTTCAGAAGAATCATCCCCTATTGCAACTGATGATAATGAAAGTAGCAGTAATAATGAAAATAGTAGCGATGATAATGATGGAGAAAATAATGAATGAATGAAAAAATGATTGGACAAAATATTTTTTGAAAATAACCCAGCTACTAAATTATCTCATCCTTTACTATATAATTTAATTCACCATATATTTATTGGATTTATCTCAAAATAATCACTCGTATATTTCTAAAAATTAATTTCTTTATTATTTATTATACCTACATATGTATGTTATATTGTATTTATATATTTTTCTATTCATAATAAATTATATATTTATTACTATTGAATCTTACCAGTCTATAGCAGGGATGTCACGGGTTAAAAAAAAAGTCGGGTCGGAAAATTTTCTTCGGTAGGGGCTTCGGTTCCTCTCGGTTCAGGTAAAGGGGATTAAAAGGTGCAAGCCTGGTTTGCGGGTGGAAAATTTTTCGGATCGGGTATATCGCGTAACCCGTGACATTTCTAGTTTATAAGCGAAGAAATTAAACGTTACTAAAGGTTGGTGATATCCTGGATATTTAGTTTTAATTGTTTGTCTTTGCTTAATTTAAAGATTAATTAAGAATAATTTTTAATTTTTTAAAGTTGAATTAAAGATGTTCAAAGCCAATCTCTTAACTCGAAATACATAAAAATTTTCGAGTGATCTTTTACATTTATATTCTGTTTATTAACTTTGTTGAAATATATTTTATAAAACAAACAAAATATCTTTAAAGTATTTAAAAATATAAATTTTTTAAAAAATTTTTTTAAAGTACATAAGAATGTTCTTGAGACGACCTAATGTTTATTTGCTAAATTTAATTATGAAATTTAGAATAGTCTAAAGAATGGTCTATACAAATTCTCTACAAATTCTGTAGACTTTTTTGTCTATAATTTGAGGGAATAATTGATTATGTTTATTTCCACAAATCTTTTACCAAAAATTATTTCCAACAACATTTTGTGCAGGTGAATATATATACCTAAAGTTAAATCCTTCAAATTTTTACTTTTTTTTATTAGCATCTCTCTCGAGTGTATGTAAGCTTTTTAAGCGAATACTTTCTTTCCTGTCATTCATTTTTTCTCCGGAAGAAGAAAAGCTCATCCCAATACAATAATTACTCTAGATATACAATTCTATCTTTTAATTTTTCTTTTTCTCTTAGTATAACGTTATTAAATTGTAGAACCCATGTCAGAAATATATAATCTTTAAACTTAATAATGGCAAATTTCCCTAAAATGTCCATATAACTTTGTTTAAATTAAATTGAATAATCCAACATTTTGTTTACTATTTTTACGTTTATTTTTAAACTTAAAATTGTAAATTTATGTGGGCTTTTGATATAAGTTTTTTTGCTGCTTTTCAAAGTCCTAATCCAATTTTTTCTTTATTGCGATAAAAAGATGTGCCTTTCCCTTTTTAAATAGGAAAAAAGGGAAAGACAATCCAAAAATACAAAAAAGTTAAGGTAAATAAAAGGCTAAAATATTTGACGATTTTCTATTTTTACCTTATTTTTTTCCTAAAATATACATAAAACAAAAATAAGAATAAATTTTAAGATAAAAATGTCTTCTAAGGAAGAAATTAATCAAAATTATTGCTGGCAATTAGCAGAAAATACTAATGAATCTCCAACACCTTCTTCTACTCAAATACGTCCATTCTCTGCCTCAGTTTGTTGCAGACCGGTCTCTAGACGTTCAACACCGACAACAAAAACAATATCATCAGCAATGGGATCTCCTAGATCAAATCGACAATCAATAGGAAATCATTCTCCTTTACATGTTGCTGCAATTTTTGCGAGAACTGCGAGGGCTGCTATAGGATCTGCGACTGGATCTGATTCAGGATTGATTCGGTCTATTTAATTAAAAAATAATTAAAATTATTTTTAAAAATTTAAGAGATGAATCTGTTCGTTTATTTATGAATTCAGACGAGGTTTTTAAAGCATGGGAAGAAAATATGAGAATTAATCCCGATGAAAAGGAAATAAATAATGGAGGGCAAGGTGTCCGAAAAAATGCGTCTTTGCACGAAAAAAGGAATGAAGCAAAAAATGGAACAAAAACAATGCGTTCAAAGAAAATGCAGAGGGTAAGTTGTAATAATTCAAATCACAGTGAGCCTAGAAAAACCTGAGAAAATTTTTTAATAAATGTTTTCTTACATGGGTTATCTTTCTAATGTAAATTTTTATTTTAGACGTTGTCAACGAACATAATAAGTAATGAATTTGAAAAAGAAGATAACGAGGATGAAAAAGAATCATCAATGTCACCAGCAGAAATTAAAAAATTTAGAGTAATTAATAATTAATATTTTTTAATTTAAATATTTTTAGAGTTTATCACAAAACCAGAAAATAATAATTAATAATGATGATACTTTTACTGATGAAAAGCTAGGATATAACTCATCTGATATTATTGTTGGGACTGCCTTAGAAATTAAAAAAGTTTCATTAGAAAATGATTATAGAATTATTGGAGGAAAGGTCGTAAGAAGATTTCTGATTTAATAAAAAATTATTTTTATTAGATTAATGATGGCAAATTCGGAAATAATTTAGTTATTAAAAATATAATTGCAGAACATAAACAATCAAGACAACAAATTGCTCTAAAATTTTTTGCTCGTCCACAAACAAAATTGGTAAATTTTCAATGTTTACTCTACACTATAATTAATTTTAAATTTTAAGAATAATTTTCTTCGAGAATATGAGGTTTCACGGTATAAAATTTTCAATAAAAAAGAAAAATTTAAATTTTTTAAGTTTTCTTTGTGCTCATTCAAATATTGTGGATACATTCGATGGATATTTTGAGGCACGTTGGTTTTCTAAAGAAATCCTCTCAAACTAAATCCAAATTACATATTAAAATATTAATTAATATTTTAGACAGACGATGAAAGTGCCTTCTTTTTCGCTCAAGAACCAATTATTTGCAACTCTCAAACATTGAGAGATTTATTAAATGCAAATCCTGGAGGTAAATCAATTAAAGATACATACCTAAACATAATTTTTTTAATTTAAAGGATTAGGTGAGAATGCCACAAAGGCAATTATCAGCAAAATACTTGCAGCCTTAGAATTTATTCATTCCAAGTGCCTTGTCCACAGAGCCATTAAAGCTGAAAATATACTTATTGGTGATCCTGGAAAATTTACACGGGTTTACTTGTAATAAAAAATTTTTAAAATCAAAATTTAAGGTTAAATTAACTGAATTTGGCAAAGTTCAACCAGTTGATTCAATTATTCGACATGCGGAACTTGTTGGCTCTTATCATCCACCCGAACTTTGTGAACGCGTTCCAAATGAAAGTTACTCTGTTACAAAACAAACTGATATTTGGGCTATTGGTAATTTAAAAACTCTTTTTAATTAAAATTGTTTTTGAAGGTATATTAATTGCTTATTGTATGAAAGGAAAGTTTCCATGGCAAAAGGCTACAATTATGTGCAAACCATTTTATGAATGGGATCAATGGTTATTGTAGACTTTTAGGAATAAAATTTAAAAAATTTAGGATAAAAAGAAAAGCTGTTCAACAACCCAAATATTGGGATTCATTTCCTGATAAAGCAATGAGAATGTTTAAACATTCATTAAACCCAAAGGTATTTAAAAAACAAAAATTCTTTTAACAATTTATAAACAGCCTAAAGAGCGCTGGGATGTAAAGGAAATAAGAAAATTTATTGAAAAAGAACGACTTTCAAAAAATAAAAATTCTTCGGATGATGCTGTTTATTATCCAGATGAAGGTATTGGATCAAAAATGTTAGAAATTAACGGAAAACAATCAAAAAAGACTTCAACTATTGGACAATGTAAAGTTTTATTTAAAAATTAAAAAAATGAGAAATTAAATATAAATTTAGGGATTAACAATACATTAAATACAATGAGCGAAATAAGTGAACAAGTGGTTTCAGCAAGGGACGATGATTGAGAGACAAAATTTTCGATTTATATAAATACTATTAGCTCTTTAAAAATATTTAAATGTGCCTAAATATTTTAATCTTTGCTCTGTATTTTATTCTCAAAGTGATCTACTATTCTTGTTGAAGTTCTTCAATCTCGTCACATAGTTCGGAGAAAACAAATTTTCCCAAAATTTTGGGTTGCCTTGAATTAAGTATTTATAAAACCTACGCCATTTAATTTTGTACCTTTTTGATAGAGATCCTTCACTACTTAATCCTTTGCTTTTTTTTTCAATAATGGACCAAAGTTTTGCACATTTTTCACAGCTCATTTTAGCCTGAGTTGTTTTATCAGTCATTTCATGTTTATTTTCACTTTGAGTTTGCATAATATTATGTTGCCGCCAGCCGATTTGTTCACAGCCATAATTAATTTGATCAAATTGTGGAAACAAAAGTGCGTCTGCCTCGTTTAAATTTGATAGTGATGGAGAAGGATTATTGGGATTTGTTGATGTGGGAATTGCACCGAAATTAGGGAAAGATGAGTTTTTAAATGGAATTTTAAATTGAGCAATCTCTGAAGTGTTGCCGCCGGCCGATCTGTTCACAGCAACAACAGATGAGGT